TTTCCCGTCTTTCTGGTAAGTTAATGAGTCCGCGCTTTTAGAACTTCTGGTCTTTAAACAGAGAAAAACATTCAACCGAGTGCGATTTGAGGTCATAATTTTTACCGATATTTTAACCATTGAAGAAGTTTTGTAAAGTTTGATATAATTGATATTTGATGTTGCAAGACAAGGACTGTATGGAGAATACGACATCACTTCCAATTTAAGCTCTAAGGATTTCGTACGTGTTATTGAAGATTACTAAGCTTGCTAAGTTGCTAAGAAGCTTCTTATTGTCGTGGTGGAACACGATTCCTTTGCGATTTACCAATTCTGGTCTTTTCTCGTTGACTGTTTCCTCCAGTTTCATATGATTTGTGCCGATTCGTCATGGTTGGACCAAGATCCTTTTCGATTAATGTTATTGTAGAGGATCTGTTTTGCATCACCTGTCATAATTGGTGTCAAAAAAGAGTTGGTTGCTTTGAGGTTTGAAATGTGTATTGAAAATCTTGATTCGGTGTGTTAAATAATTTTTTTTCAATTCTTGCGGAACCCAAATATTGAGCTTCTTAACGAATCCTAATACATCTTATTGTGTGTGATACATTTAACTTTTTGCAATCTCTAGCGCACTTATATGACAATTAGATTCATTTATGGCTTTAAATTTTGTTGTCATCAACTTCGGAAGGTCGGCCAGAACGATGGTCACCTTTAAGTGAAAAATCTCCAGAACGAAATTCTTTAAACCAATTCCGGCACAATACTTCTGTTAAGCAATCAACACCATAAACATCACACATCTCTTCGTGAACCTCAGCCGCTTTCTTGACTTTATAAAAATAAAAAAGTAAAACAGGTAAAAAAATGTTTATTTTTGTATCTCATGTTTAAACTAACTTTAAACTAAAAGTTTTAAACAAAAATATACGGAATTTGTTTCTATAGCAACATTAAAATGTCAGCTACGAAATCTCAGAAGAAAAAAATTATATGATCGACAGAAAATTAATAAAATAAACATGAAGCTATCTACTTGTACAAATTCAAATTACTTTCTTGCCAACTTAATAATAAATGCTTACAATGTTTTTTGATAGTTAATACTTAAACCAACTTACTGTTTTTAACTCATATTTTAAGCCAAGCTTGTACTTTATGTAATTGGAAAACTGATATTTTCAGTAATTCCTGAAGATGTCTTAAATGTACGAAAATAATAAATTTGCTTAATTTTATTACGGGCACTCCAAAAATACAGCAAAGACAACTATTTTGTTATCTTTTCTATAACATAATATTCTGAGTTTTCTCTGAAACAAAAGTTGAAGGAAACAAAATTATGCAAAGTGCTAAAATTCCACTTCCATTTACAAATAAAAAGTTAGGAACACTTTTCATATCTTCTTCCTGGACATACAAACCCCAAAACCTCAACTGGTTACTTTCTTCGTTGCCAATTACCATTTGCAAAAGAATCTTCTTTAAAAACCGGTTGCCACTTCGTGAAACATGGGGATATAGCTGGTACTTTTCTCTGCATGCCAAAACCGTAAACCTCCCTTCTGATTGATACATCTTTTGTCTTCTTTTGGTTCCTAAACAGTTCAAAAGGGCAACTGAGTTTCGAATTGTAGACAGCGCGAAGACCTAAAAAAATAACAATTTAAAATATAGGACGCAAAAAACGCGGAAATAAAATTGTAGAAGAAGAGGTACGTCTCGTGATCTGGTCAAACTCACGTGACCCGGTCACTGGGTTTCGAAAAACATGGGTCAGATGATGCATTCATGTACCAAACATATTGAAAGAAAGCGAAGAATTGAGAAATTCCTATGCAAAGTAGGGTGATTTCATAGTATAAAAAGTATTGATATGGCGCAACACGCTGGATCTACAATCGATGTCTTTGACAGTCAAATGGATACCTAAATTAATTTCATTTTACATTTGGAATTTCGAGTTATTATTATCATGTAAGAAGCTTCACGTTTCTTGAAAGAGTCTAAATGATTTTCTTATGATAAACAGAAAACCTCAAGTTTTGAGTCAGCATGAGCTCAAAACGAAAGTAGCTTTGTAGTTCACCCTGTGAATATTTCGTAATTTCTTCGAATTATGAGTTACAAATCCTTTAATACTTCTTTTAAATTTGTTTGTGGATATATATTGAGAAAGAGTTTATGAATGATGAACCCGTTTTTCAGACCCGTAGCTCGGTAGTAATGATGATTTGAGCTTCCTGACTTCTGCGAGATCTTAATTTAAGCAAGTAATTAATTTATGAGTTGTAACTCTAAAATTGAAAAGGCCCTTGTAAGACTTCGATTCTTTAACGAATCAAATAATGCTTTAAATTAATATGACCTACCAAAGTACCTGTGTTTTGCCTAACTTTCAAATTTTGTTTTCAATCCCTAATGATCTGCCTCGATTAAGTTTTGCAAACTTTTGCAATACGTTAGTACTGATGTTAACTCCTCGAGCAACGGGAGAAAATTACAATTATTTAACTGCTCATTGATCTCTCTCAGGCCGTTTTCGATTACTCTCAGTTTTGAAAACATAACATAAAAACATAAACATTGTTTAGCTGCGTGTGTCCACGGCACACACATTTTTTCTATCCGCAATTTGTTTCTCTTAACCTTTCTGAGTCATAGTAACCAAGATGTTGATGTTACTGCTAACGCCGGAACTATAATAACTAAAGTAACAATAAATAATAATTAAAATAGGCAACTCATATCTTAAAACTTATTCATCTCATAATACCTTAAAACTAATATCAAATTAGTTCGAAAATCGCAAAATTAGGTCATATTAATAAGGCTTGTAACATTCTATTGATTGTATTATTGGAATTTTAAAATTCACAGTTTTAAATATATAAAAATCTTATCGTACTTGTTTTCTAAAATAAAAGTTCTAAAATTTATGATTTCTTTTAAAATTGCTTTAAGAAATAATTAAATTAAACATTTTGGCATTTTCCAGCGTTTTAAAATACTGAGTATTTTTGGTACTCACCAGTCCGTATAAGCTTTGTGAACAAACATGCAAGATGAGCAAAACAATTAACCAAAAATTTTTAAAAACATTATGGCAACACTTTACATTCTGGGAACGTGAACACTTTACATTCATCATCAGTTTATAAATTACAGCTTACAGTTTATAAATTCATGCTTACAGTTTATAAATTATATATAATAATTAAATTATTCAGCTTACAGTTTTTAAATTGACTGTCTATCAGCTAACTGAGTCCACGATACAAACATTTATTTCTGTTCACCTTTTCTGTTCACCTTTTTTTCAGCTATCTTTACCTAACAATACTTCAGTAAGAATTAATTCCTAGATGTCGAGAGACCAGCGGTTGTGCGGTTAAGTAGGTGACCAATGGCAGTTCTGACCTGGGTTCGATTCCAGGCGAACAGGATGGCTGCGTGGGCGTTTTTATGGTTTTCCCCTTGTGTAACGTGTATAGAAGAGAAGAAGAAGGTCGTTCACGAAGACTCCCTACCCTTAGGCAGGTGGCTGTAATGTGTTTTGCTGTAATTAAATAAACCAAACCTAGTTGTCAGCTAGTTATCGCCCTATAGTGATTAGTTACCTATAGCAAACTTATATAAACACAAATTTAAATTCAATAAACTTTGCTTGTCCATTCCTGGTGAATTACTATTAAAACGAGACTTTATAAACTAAAGATTCGATTAATATCGACAAAACGCTTTATGTGATTTATCTTGAAATTTGCAGTTATCAAAACCAGTTAGTTCATTGCTGTAGTTAAAAAAAGCAAGACGGTTCGTAGCTAGGGCAAGGCATGAATTGCAATTAACCTTCACTAGCTTTTATTACTTTCTTTGCGTAATTTTGTTTTCAGATTTGAGATAATATGTGTGTCATGAATAAGACAGAACAGTGTCCAATAAAGTTGAATTGAATATTTTTAGTAGAACTTAATTTATTTGCCAAAAGTTTACAAAACTTGCTCTAACTAAAAACGGACAGTAAGGTGGCATAGGTCAGATGCGTAACTTGTTCAGCAAAGTCTTTCAGGGAGAACTTGAACTGTCACCACAGACTCGCTTTTCTCATTCAGACTTTTCTGATTCATAGATCATGCAGTGTTTTGATGAAGAAGTATGATTATTACAGTTAAATTCCCAGAAACTGTGCTTGATGCTCTGTGAATGATATACAAGACTCTCATTGCTCTATTTACTCTTAAAGCGGGGCTACAGATTCAGAATCTGTTACTTTTATGTACACCGAAGAAGGAAAACGCTGACTGTAATTTTATAGTTCTTAGAAGATATTAGCAGCGGTTACTGCAGCATCACTCTATATCTTAATTTTAGATCATTTTATTTTTGTGCCCTATAATTGGTAATTTTAGGCTAAAAGCATGATGTAAGTGTAAAGTATTCTTAAATATATTCTGTTCAGATCCAGTGTAGGTGTTACATTTTACGATATTTAAATCTCACACATCCCACGACACCTGAAGCACTTTTAAATGTCCATTCAATTTTCTATTAATTGAAATACTTAAGACGATCTCATGTTCTTGAATCCATTTAAATTTCAGAATATGCCATCACATTCGTTAATAATGGATATAAAAATCCAACCAATAACATTTTCTTCTTTATCTCTTGCCTCAGTTGATTTATTAAATATTTTTTTCTTTTTCTGCTTAACTAAATTCTATTATTTAAAAAAGTATCCAGTATTAAGTATGGTAACCAACAAACAATGGTAACCAACAAACAGGAATCAGCTAACGTGTGTACATTTGCAGTACTGAAATGGCGCATTTCATTCCGTTTCATTTAGGAATGTTTCTCTTAGATGTGACTTATACTGTCAATGGAGTTTAATATGTCAAATTGTAGTGATGATACCCCATATCCATTAATTAAGTGAATGGTTAAGTTTTAGTTGAACAGTTCTTTTTTTACCTATCAGTAGCAAGTTGCAAAAAGGATGCATCTTTAAATGTTGCTATACGACGATGTTGTTCAACGAATGTATCAGTACAACAAAGGTTTCCAGACGAATTTGTGCTGTATGAAGAGCATACCGTTGCTAAAAGAACAACTCAGAAATGGACTGACAGGTTCTGTGGCAAAAAATGTAATCTGAGAAATACCCTACATTCTCAGCCCGATTTGATGACAGATGTTTGATCAGTCCGATCCGTCAAACCACTTGCAAGTTTATCAACTGTGAAACAAGAACCGTGTTAACTTAGCGCTTCAATGGAAAAGGCCAAACAGATGACATGGCATCCACATAGGCAATGCTAGACCACCTGTGAAAGTTGCCATTCATGGTGGGATTGAGTTCAGGTAAAAGTGCGAAGAACTGTATAATGCTTCGCAATTCTGCTTGAACTCAATTCCATCATGTACATAATGATAATCAGGATTATTGGATTCACTGAAATCATTAAAGCTCATGTAAATAATGTATGAAAACAAGCAATGAATGTTTTATTTTATACAACTGTAAAGTATCTGTCTCTTTGGGAACATAAACTATAAATTTTAAAAGGGTTATTGAAGAATTATCTTCTAGTCTTGTGAGACAAAACAGAAATCAGAAGGAGGGTGTATAAGACTCTTTTATTCGAACACAACAAATGACCAACTTTGGTTTACATAAACCAAGCACTTTTCGCTCAACATAAATACGAAACATATAACAATTTCAAGATATGGTAGATTAGCCTAACGGCTCATAGAATACTTTACCGCACAGGAAAAACTCTGGTTCGTAATAACCGGCGAGATAAAGCTAAATGGCTAGAAACATTCAATGCCGCTGTCTCAAGTCGCTAATAATCACGGCACAACAGGAATAGGCAGACACGCTTTAAAACTAACTTCCGAAAGTCTTGCTTAAATAGCACTTCTGTCTACCTTAATCTGAATAAACGTTCGCTATCTCATTTACATTCTGATATGAAAAGTGTGTGTGAAAAGAGAGTAATAGGAAAATAGTCAAGCTTAAACTGAAATATTACTTAAAATTAAATTGATAAACCTCACATCATGAATGTACTCGCCAGAGCATTGTATGTTTATATAGCGAACCTTGTGTATAATGAATCTTATATGTTACGAACCTTGTGTATTTATGTAGGTCCTGTATTCCGTAAATCTTGACTTGTCTTCATAATTAAAACGTCCATTTTTACGATGATGTTTCTCATCTGCCAGGATGGAGGTACACTGGAGAATACATTTACTTAAATGTCAGGTCAGTGGTCATCCCTGGTGGCGCAGAGCAGCTTAATTTGGAGGTTCTTTCACATCCAGTATTTTTTCTATTTATACATCATAGAGATAACAGACTCTGCAGATCACTTTCGAATGCACTTCATTGACAGCTTCCTTGTAAACAATGATCCGTTGCATCCAAACCGTCATATGTTTGGAAAAATGACGTCTAAAAACTAGCTTCAGCCCTGATTGAGAAACAAAGCAGGATAATCTATTAGGAATGCATTTCATGATTAGGTATGCACTGAAAGCAAAAAATGTGCACAGAAACGAGATGAATTTTTTACATCAACCCAAAGATTCAAATAATAAATTGAACCGTCTTCTTCAGCTGCCGGAGATTTTCCACTCTGGTGAAAAAAGGTTTTTGTGAAATATGTTTAAAAACACTGGTGAGTTTGGCTACATGCAAGAATAAGGAAATTTAATATCGGTTAAGTAGTTTATTTATTATTTATTATAAATTTTTAAGTGGCTCACTAAGTAATAATTTATAATAACCTAATTAAGTGATAAGTATTGGCAACTAGTGTAATTCTATCGCAGAAACGCTGTATAAAAATCTCCCACAATTAAACAGTGATTTTTTTTCTTTGTGGTTTGCGTACTAATAAATGAAAGCAAAACGAAAATTCGTACAAATATCCTTACCGTTCGTCACATCTTACAAAATAATGGTGTGGTCTATTAGCAATAGAACACTAAAATCGGGTTTTCATGTGAAATTCCGTGATATTTCTTCTACATCTATTTTTCAAGTAAATTAACCTAGATGATGATGAGAGGAGCAAACATATATGCTTTCATCAATTCAGAGAGAAGTAAAGGTAAAACAAAGCATTTTTTGAAATATTTCAACTAGATATTTTGCATCAGTTTTCAGTAATAGAATTTTAAAAAATAGTTAAGCAAACATTTCGAGATCACAATCACTGTTCATTTCAAATTACTGGGAATAGTTTTTTCTTGAAATTATTTTATTTATATTCTCAATAATGTAATGAAATCTGGAAAAATGTATTTATAAATTATATTTTCCCAGGAAACTCTTCAATTCTCTCGTTTCAAAGTAAAAACAGAAACAAAAATAAAGAAAAGTATCATTTCCAATGAAATTAAATTAATGAAAAGAAAACAAATTGTATTTAAAACAAAATGGGCCAAAAAAATTTAATGAAATAATTCAAAAGGAAGTTTTTTCCAAAAAATATTTTTTCCTTTAAATTTATTTTCTATAAAAAGCAAAATAATATAATTAGTTTTGATATCAGCGCAAAGAACGTATTTTGGATGATAATGTGAGGGAAAGAGAAAACTTTCAGAAATATCAAGAAGTGTTTCTAAAATTCAATCTAATTTTTATTTTTATTCTTCTATAGTCAGTTCATATATTTATTGATTGATTTTGGAAAATAAATTAGAAACATAAAGTGTTTTTCAGGGCTTTAGCTGCATTTTTTCTCTTCCATGTTTCCCAAATCTTTTTAGTTTCGGAAATTGTAAGAAATAACATGTATGCAGAGCAAAAACGTAATTTTACAAACGTTAAATCAATTTTTTTTAATTTTATTCAATAATGAGAATATGAAAATGTAAAAATATCATATTGGTTTGAATATAAGAAGACTTTTCTTTCCATAAAATTTTCTTTTGATTATCTGTTTTGTGTATGTAGTCTAACATTTCAAAAATAAATGTATGTAATTTAATTAAGTTTGCATTCCCTAATTTTAACGTTAATGGAAAATATGTTTACTTACAGTTATTATAGTGGTTATGCGATGATATGTGGGGTCGTATAAATCGTATTTTTCCTTAAAAAAAAAAAAAAAAAAAAAAAAAAAAAAAAAAAGCCCACCAGCGGCCGAGCGGTAAAGTCGCTGAACACTGGTAGTTCGGTCCGAGGTTCGAATCCCGCGAACGGGCTAGCTGCATTAGTGTTTTCGTGGTTTTCCTCATGTGTAACGTGTATACGAGCCAGTTTTCCTTAGAAAGTCCTCCACGAAGGCATCCCTCCCCTTAGGCAGATAGCCCTAGTGTGCTTTGCCATAATTAAATACACCACACCACCTTTTTAAAAAAAGCATTGTGAAAGCCATGCATTAATTTAATATGCAAATCTGTCTTACATTCAAGCGAATATAAGTGTATGCTTGTAACTTTAATGTTTATGTATAGCAATAAAAATATCTACTTTTATGGACTGGATTATTTGAATATGGCAAATTCTGGAGAACACGATGGCTGAATTCCACTGTGGTGGCAGCCAATCTGAGGATTGTTGATCAAAGCGGGATATTTATGGAACTTTGGTTCAGTCGGGAATATCTACTTTTTTTTTATTAAATTATTTGAATACCGCAAATTCTGGCGTGCGTGATTTCTGAACTCCACCGACATGACATCCAACATACGGATTGTCGGTCCAAGCGGGATATGCACCATCTCAGAAGGCATATATATAAAAGAATTTTAAAAATCTTACATGATGGCTGCATGAGCGTTTTCGTAGAGTTTCTGTGAACAAAATATTTTCCTTACAAAGTGCCCAACAAAGGTATTCATGCATACACGGAGATTACTCTTGCGTTCTTTGGTAATATCATGTATACCAAACCACACTAGAAATTAAAAGAATTGAAAAAGAATTGACTCTATTCCTGATATACGCAGAGAAAACTCGAAAACGCACATCCCTGCGCCGGTATTTGTTCCCAGATCGAACCACAGTGTTCACAGGTCTTATTTACTCTCTACTTTTGTCATTAGTGAGCATTTCTCATGTACAGGTATGTTAAAAAGGTTGAACTTTGTTGTTGACTTATCTTGTTTGTTTGCTTTGACTTATCTCACTTGTCTAACAGCAACATCAGAACAAGTCCACGAAATTAATTATGACAAGGTGTGTAAGATTGTGCCTATCGTTGACAATAGCCTTGAGCACCGTACAGGTGACAGCACGGCTTTTCCATACCCCTCCCCCAATTTTGATGGAGAGCACTCCAGGGGGGACAGATCAGAGCGACTCTCACTTCTCTTCCTCTATCATTAACCTCTCGAGAGGACTTTCGGCTCGCCGAATATTTAAAGTGCTCCCATGCCGCACAGACACTATACATTTACAAATATCCCTGCCTTCTCCGGGATCAGAAATCGGACCCATCGGTACGGTATTCAGATTCACTAACCACTATCCCGGTTGGGCGGCAGATGAACTTCTTTTTATCAAAGTCCGCATCAATTTAGGATTTTTTTTCCTAATTTATTTTCGGTTTTGTCTTATTCTTGAAATAAATAATTTGTTCAGGCTGCCTGCGATGTAGTAGTCCATAACATCACATCCATAACGTTATTAATGGAAGTTTTAGTAATATCTACGAAAGGGAGTTAAAGAATGAATCAAATATCTCGGAGATATTAGTTGGTGAGTACCTATTCATTGGTTGGTTAATAGATCATGGTGAAGGAAGACCGTAGATGGAGATAGATGAGACCGTAGATACTTTCATCGAAAGGAGCTCACCGGTGGTCGAGTATATAAGACACCTGAAAAATGATATTTCGACGCGCGTTGGAAACCGTAAAAACGGGTTGACTATAGAATCAGTATTTCTGTGTTTTTCAGTTATGTGGGAAATGTAAGGGATCTCAAGAAGAGTACTGGATTTAATGCAAAAATAATTTGTTTTTAAAAAATAGAAAATATTTTTACATGTTTGCAACAGGCACGTGTTCCGGTTTAAGTAAGTTGAGTTTAAATTACACGTTAAGACTGTTATTTTATTACTGTTAGTTGATTTCGCAACTTTGTTGCAGCTTACTCGACTTCAAAAGTTACACAAAGGAACAGCCAATTTTGATTGTGAAAACTAATTGCAAGAAGGGTGAGTATTATGCACAAACTGGTAGGAAGCCGTATGTAATCTTTTGGCATGAAAAATCCAGCCGGTTTTTTGAAAACAGCAAGTCCCAAAAAATCGTGCCGCCGAAACGGGATAGTGGTTAGTGACTCTGACTGCCGTACCGAAGGGCTCGGCTTCGAATCCCAGAGAAGGCTTGAATGTTTGTAAATGTACTGTCTGTGCGGCATGGGGGACTAAAACTATGTGGCGAGCCGAAAGTCCTCTCGAGACGTTGTTGGTAGGGAAAGAGGGGTTTGAGACCCTCGGACCCATCTCCCTACAGTGCTCTTCTTCAGAATTGGGGCGGAACTGAGCAAAGATGTACTGTGACTTGTTTGGTGCTCAACGAGCTTGCCAACGGCACGCGCAATTTTGCCTCCTTGCCACAATGAACTTCGTAGATTTGCTCTCATATCAGACAAGCGAGATTAGTCACAACAACAACAAAACAAAGTGTCCTAAAGGGGGAACTGAATGCGTCATTAGCCGCCTGGATACGCAGATAAACGAAGACGTGGGGGAGGACATATTCTTCATTCTTCTTCAGACATTGTTCTTCATTCTTAAATCGAAACATTTCCGTATTACAAATATGTAAAAATATTTTCCACTTTCTAAAAATCAGTTATCTTACTGGGCATATTTAACACGGTGCTTTTATTTGGAACATCTTACACAAGCCACTTTCTTTTGAATTCCATTACCAAAGCATAGCTCTTCTGGGAAATAACCCTTGCGTTCTTTGTTTTAATTCAAATCCACGAAACCTCTACGGAATACTTTCTGAAGAAAAGTAGTTCGTGTGTACATGCACACTATTCATTTCTAGTTTCTGAACTAGAACTGAAGAAACTAGTTCGTTCGGGGAGAAAATCACGAAAGTTCCAAGCACAAGCTCCAAGCTTTTGACTCCAGCTCCCAATCAAAAGCTTGGAGCTTGTGCTGGTTTTGACTGGGAACATAATACAATACGAAGTACCGGTATTCAGCGGTTTTATCAATTCAAACCACTGATGCACACAAAGAAATGTTATATGCAATATAATTGTAAGTATAGGATAAGTATGCAAATCTCTTTGAACAAGCATTATTTCAAGTCACATGCCTACACGTAGTCATGAGTCTGTGTAATATGACAACCAGCCAATTCTCTTTAGAAATTCGTTCACAAAAGATACCGCATTATGTAGATAGTTTTAGTTAACTTTATTATAGTCAAATAATCCGATCCAGTCTAGTCAATTCGGTTTAGTTGTTTTATTTGATATTGGCAAAGCACTCGAAGCCTATCTGCCGAAAGGGATGGCGCCTTCGAAGACGATTTTCTAAGGAAAACTGACTCGTATCCACGTTACAGATAAGAAAAACCACAAAAACGCCCAGACAGTTAGTCCGTTTTCCTGGAACGGAACAAAGGTTGAATTACCAGTTTTGAGCCCTCGGTCGCTGACATCTCATAGTATATCTGATACTATCACGATACGAAACATCCTGCATAAAAACTGTCTCAGTTAATTTTTTTATTTAGCTCGTTTTACACAGACATAAAGATTAAGAAATCTGTGTTCCCATTGAAAATGAAAATTACAGTTTCCTAACGACATCTTGTTAATTTCGTGGTAATAAACACTGTGTACTTTCCCTGCAAATATTCATGCTGATTAAAGAGAAACGAAGGCTATGAAACAGCACGATACTGGAAACTGTTAAGTAATTTTCATTTTCAAGTCAAGGATTCTGAGTTTCTATCAGCGGGATCCAGGATCAAGCCGTGAATTGAAAATTAAATCCGTGACGTAAGCTGCGTGAAGTATATTTTGACTAGATGAGAGCCAATGATATCGTATCGGAAGTTGTCACTGTAGGATATCTGTGCTGACACCTTCTTTCGAAAGCCATCATTGATACACTTTGTGACCGAAAACAGTGTATGCGGGCTTTCTTTCTTTAAATATTGGTTCTTTGCACATACTACCATTCCGAAAGTTACTTAAATAAGGTTTAAGTACAGGTAAAAGTATAGCGGACACCAGCGCGATGTAATACGTGTCAACTGTCTTTCCATGCTAACTAACCCTAATTTTTTTTTTTTTTTTTTTTTTTTTTTTTTTTTTGCAAGCATTATGAGAGTTAAAGCAAAGTTGAGCAGATGATTTTCTCAAGTTTTTCAAAGCATCTAAAGGTTACCTATAATGGTACATCGTGAAATCCCACAGTACACCCCCTATCCAGTGTTTATTAAAAATATAATGTTTTATGATATAAACAGAAAACAATATAATTTGTATATAATATTAAAATATTGGGAATACAGAAAATACTTTTGACAAGAAATTAACATAATTTTAAAAACGATACATGAAATAGCATGTTGGAACAGATTATTACAGTTTTCAAGTTCACTCAGAATCCTTTTGAACATACACACACGATGGATTACAGGAAATTATACGCCTTATTTGAGGAAAACATTTCCAATAAAAGGTTCTGTAAAAAAGTCTAACATTTTATAATTAACTCCCAATTACCGAAGAAAATTCTCCAAGAAAGCATCCCTCCCCTCAGGCAGATAGCTTTCGAGTGCTTTGCCATAATCAAATAAACCAAACCAAACCCAATTATCCGGAGATGGCGCGGATAATCGCATTCTTTTTTTTTAAAAAAAAACATTGCGTTTGCTTATCATGGAAGGAACCATTACTGTCATGAATCATCAGCGTAAAACAGAACTGTCTGCAGAAAAGAAAAATCGTAATAGAAGAGACTACCCTGACTTTTAAGTGTCTTAAATTGCGCGTAATCCAGAATGCATAAGCATTATAATCCATTAAAATTAAATTGCTCATCCTTAAAAATATTAAATCAAGTATAGTACCTTTAATTTTCTGCTTCTATAAAAATAGAAGAGTTATGCGTTTATTGGCTCCTAACAAAATGCGAGTGCAGTCAATTGAAACAAAATTAATAGCATGTACCGTAACGTAAAGAAGAATATAGACAGAGCGAGAAAGGAAGAGAGTGCGCGCTCCAGAAAGAAAGAGCTTTGTATGCTAATTTAATTACCTAATTGTCTTTTCCTTCTTTGGAGTTAACAGTGGCTGCTTGTTAGGTGTCTCTACTAACTGCTTCTGATTTACCAGGATTTTGAGTGTAACGTTAAAGTTATCTACGGTATTACCTCAATTAACAAAGAGTTCTGGTTTCCAAAGGGAAAGATTTACATAAATGCAAAACGTTTGAAAGACAAAACCGTATACCATTTTTTTTTTTCAAATTTATTATGCACTCCGCCAACAGGCATTATTGCAAAGGGTGGGATATCCTGTGGAGGACGTTTTAAGTGAAACTGGCTTGTATCCACGTTATACACAAGGAAAAATATGAAAACGCCCATGCAGCCAGTCCACTCTCAGAGACTCGAATACTGGACCGAACTATTGGTGTTCGGCGGCTTTTAACGCTCCGTTATTGTATACCATAATGGGACAAATATAGCAGACATTCAAGAGCAAGTTTGATAACTTAAATTTTCTTAATAATTCAAATTTATAAGCTTACTTTTTCCCATGCGTGTCATTCTATATACTGTATTTACCAGTGTGTCCCCCCTCCTAGTTTTTTAGCACAAGGCTCTGAAATTGTTTTAAATATTCACGTAATTTTCTCCTTCCTCAGGAAGTTCAGAAAGGGAACTACCCTAAGTTTTAAAATAGATTCACCCCAATAGTGTTTGTTTTCATCTTAAATGATTCGCTCGTGGATTTTGGGTGCATGGGCTCTTGATGGTTCTGAAGATCATTTCTCGTGGTAAAACAGACTGAACGGTGACGAATGCGATAACAATATGAAAGATACAGAAAAACAGAAATGAAGATATATTATTAGATATCGTAATGTTCATAATACTATGCATTCTTACTAGAACGTAGGTTTTTTTTTAAAAGAAATAATATTATGATAGTTACCTGTAGTTTATCCACGACTACTTTTCATTTGTCATGTTCTTACTGTAACTGCATCTTTCAGAAATTAAACTATTCGCATAATTTCCTCCCTGACGATCTTCCGGTAGTGAAACTAGTAACAAATGGGAGAAATTATGAGAATAAATTACGGTGATTCGGGTCTTTTGATAACAAATTTAGGAAGCTACAAAACAAAAGCTGCTCGCCTTAGAAATTAATTTTGCTATCAAGTGGATACAAAGTTCTATATTATGTTTATTTGTAACTATACGCTGGAAATATTTAACAAAGATTTAAATTTATTAGGCCAAGTTAAAGCACACTAGAACCCTCCGCCTATAGCGAGGAAAGCTTAAGTGGAGGAATATTTAAAAATAATTTGGATTATTTAATTTGAGAAAAATCCACTATGCAGCATGTCATTCACTGGTGTTTGAACTCGGGTTGAACTATTAGTAATTAAAGGTCTTATTTCCTGGGCCTCTGGTGGGCCATTATTCCACGTAATATTATGGAACGTGCAGTTTTTATTGTTTAAAGCATAAAGAGTGCTGTTCAGATTGGAATATTCCCTCAACGTCCAGACTGGAATCCTTTTATTATGTTAAAATTGTTTTCATAGAATTCCTTGCCTTATTTTGAGAAATTTAGAAATATTTATCTAGATTTACAGTTTAAGGATATATAATTATAAAGCCTTTTCTTCATCCTTCCCGCATGCCTTCGTGGTGTAACGGTAGCCCACTCGGCGCCTATTCCAGAGAGGTCTAGGTTCGAGTCTTGGTGAGGGCATTCCTCATTTTTCACATCTCCTGATTTAAAAAAAAAGAATCTCTATATAATTACCTTTTGAAATCTAGTATAGGAGGATAAGTTAGGTTAGATTATTTTGATATGGAAAAGCATACAATGGCTGTCTGTCTGAAGAGGAAACCTTCGTGAAGGACTTTCTGAAGGACACGTTTTACATGAATAAAATCTCCAAAAACAAATATGTAGCCAGCCTGTTTGCCTTGGCTGAACTACCAGTATTTAACGCTCTTAATTCCTTGGCCTCTATTGGAGCTTTATAATAGAAAGTTATGAAGTCTTAGTAAAGGCACGTTCTAAATCAAAAGTTTATCGAGAACCAGATATTCAGAGATTCTAAATGTTAGCTTTAAGTTAGGTTATAAGGTATTTCTCCCACTTTCCAAGCGTCCTTCGTGGTGTAGTGGTCTGCACACTGGGCCAGTATTCCAGAGGTCCGTGGTTCGATTCCCGGCGAAGGCGGTTGCATATTTTTCATCTTTTCTGCTTTCAATTAACCTAATGATTCTACAGTGGCGCCCGAACTAAAAGGGTTGTGGATGATGATTCTCCACACCCAGGATTTGGCGACTAGGTCCCCTAAAATCCTAGTCGCCCTTTAAAAATGGGAGTATATAAAGGTATTTCTCTCACTTCCCTAGCATGCCTTCGTGGTGTAACGGTAGCACGCTGGGGCGGTATTCCAGAGGTCCGTGGTTAGATTCCCGGCGAAGGCGGTTGCTAATTTTTCTCTCTCTGGCTTCCAAAAAAAAAAAAACCTAATGACTCTACAAGGTTAGGTTATTTGAATATGGCTAAACACAAGAAAGCTATCTGTTTAAAGAAAAAACGCCTTTTTGGTGAACTTACTAAGGGAAACTGGCTCATTTATTTTTTAAATACAAAGAAAATCCTAATATCAATCAGGTAGTCAGTTCATTTGCTTGGGATTGAACCCGTACCATTAACCACTCAGTTTCTCTTAATTATCAAAACGGTTCATATTCCATGTTGTTTAAAGCATTTATAAATGCTTCAGATAGTGAAAAGGAAGAAAGTTAAGGCTGGAGAAAAAATTCCTTCGGTGCCTCACCTTAAACTTCCCCGTAAAGCACTGCTACTTCTTACTATACAGCAATGATTCTATAATTTTAAATTGAGCTAAAAAATGCAGTTAACTATTTTCGATATCTTCATTAGCTAAAAACATTCAGCTAACTCATGTTTGTAAATTTTTTTAAATGAGTATGCTAGAATTTGATTTTAAAACTCCCAGTCCGTAAATTCCTGTAATACAACCGTTTTCTTTGAAGGTGGTGTAAGTCCATTTTATATTATATGAAGATATTTAATGGTTGAAATATATTGGTATATGTTAATACGCTCATTTTATATATTTAGACATTAAATTGATGTAATAAAATAAAATTTAATAAAATTTTATGTTTAATTAAATTTTTTGTAAGTAATAATATTTAGTTAAATTTTATTCACTGGTAAAAGTAAAATAAAATTTTATGTTTTTAAAATTTAAATGTATAATGTGATCCGTTAAGTATTAATTAAAGAAATTTAGACTTTTGATGACCTCAAATGAACTTCAAAGCCCATTTTCAGCAAAATGTGAAAAATCATATATTTATGAAATATTAAATATGGGATTTCAGTTAAATCAAACCAATTTTATTTTTCTGGAATTTTATTAAATATGCATTGTTTTCACCAGAATCTGATTCCAAGATTCTTTTTTTGTTTCTATTCCTTGGGATCATTCAAGTAAAATAATAATAACAAAATATTAAAATTAATTAAAATGTAGAAGGAAATATATCAAAATAGGAGTTTATAAATACCTACTGAATAACTTTCCGATTCTAAGGTGACATTATACATTTCGAATATTATGTAATATAAATTGCTCCTCGTCCTAAAATTAATAATTAGCAATTTCAGAGGTAATCATACTTATCTACTTCAAGTTAAGTGAAAATAAGAATATATTACTAAGTCTTATAATCTAAAATAAACGAGCGAAGTAACAAAATTTCAGTGAACTAAAACATTTTAGGTCATTAACAGTGCTGCCACGCATATAAAAACGAAGCAGAGAAATTATGTAGTATAATTTTTGAATTAAATATTAAGTGTTTGTGGAAAGAGGACTTACACTACTTTCAAAGTAATTATATTTGTAATTCCATTGACTACTTAAATTTGACAAAATTATGAACATTTTGAAGAATTTTTTGGGACCTGTTTGTAGATAAAAGGCTCGTAGCAGATTGCATTCATTATTATCATTAACTAATTTTTTTTATCAAAAATATAATTACACCTTTTTCAAAGAAAACAGCTCAATGAATGATGTGCAATATGGTTTCTTTCATTTTCCCAAAATACTTAATATCTGGATTAAAGGAACTTAAGAAGTATTCATGTATAGGCATCATGTTGGTTCAGTTCCCAGTATCAATTCTGTAAACTGGATACTGTTACGTAAAGGAAAGGAAACCCAACCAAGCCGAACAAATCCCAAAATAACAGGAGGCTAGCCGAGAGAGAAAATAACTTTTAAGTTTGCAACGGAAAGAGATAGGAAAAAAAAATGTTTTCTCTTCCTAATCTCTGATTCAAGAAATGTCAAGGTTGATTTAAATAATATACTGCATGCTGAAGATCAGGTTTCTTTATACAGTTTGCAGTTGCGTAATATTAAAATTACATCATTCCAAAATAATTAATTCCAAATTTACATAAGATGTTCACGTGAAAGAAACATGTACAATATTGCTTTGCAGACGATATTTATCTTGCATAACATCTTAAATAGAAAAACATGAAATAGAAGACATTTTAGTTAAATTTCTATTTAAAAGAAGTGTAATTTTTTATAACTACTACTAGGAAAAGAACGTAACAAAATATATGCAGTATCTAATTGGAGAAGAAATAAGCCAATTTAAAATTTGTAAATTAGGAGAAGAAAAACCACCATTAGCAAAGATTTTTTGATTAAAACTTTGACGATTTCGAGATCGAACGCAGGTTCTTCTTTTTCAGGACCAAACTTTTTTTTGTGTGCAAAGGAGCAAAGTTTCATTCTTCAATAGAAAAAAAATCTGAAAAGTTTTAGATTTTAACGACGGCGTAGCAGTAAATATTTAGATTTCCGGATAGAGCGTTAAGTGTTGACATATATTTTTCTTTCTCTCTCTCTATTTTTTTTTTCAGTATATTCTTAGTTTATCACATCAATGTTCAGTTTTCTTAGTAGGATGACTTTACAAAACTTTTTTTGTCTTTTTATTATTAACGTATTATGCTTTATTTATTTAGTATCACGTTCTTGGCGCTCATCTCATATAAAATTAGATCCAATAGCAATATCACAAAATCTTTAAAAATGGCATATCTTTAGAATTTTCGACAGAAAGTCTCCTGCCCTGGAGATAAAAATGTATTTTTCCGTACAATTTTACCACTGTTCGCCTTTAAATCGTTCAGTTCGTTAACCGAAAATTCATTAAAGCGTTACAAAATATGAAATAGTAAATAAACAAATTCAAAAATTCAAAATTCTGTCTTCCAAGTGTCCAAGTTTGGCTGGAGGACTACATTATTCAAAATTGAATGGCTATAGATACCGTCGTTTTTTACATAGATACTGTTGTTTTTTAACAGTATACATACAAAAATACTTATATTTATGCAGATTCTTCATTATTTAATTTCTTTAAATATAATGCAGAGCGATAATATTTGGTTGCAATAATTTAAAATGTGACACAACGCATTTAAGTGTTTCGATGCAAACTGCCGTTTCAAGACTGATGTCTCATTCGGGGACTAAGGTCTCCGTCCCTTTTGGGCCTTCAAAAAAAGATTAGCCTTTGTCTCTTTCAATTAGATACTCTGAAATCCAGTGGCATTTTATTTTTTATTTTGCAATTTCTTGTTTTGCCTTTGATAAAAAAAATTTTTTTTGCCTATGGAGAAGAAAGGCCTCTGTCTGAGCACCGCCGAAATTGTGAAAATTCAAATAATCTTTATAATCAAAATCCACGTCTGTTTAAGATTACTTTTGGCTTAACTTTAAATATAAACAGTATAATATTGACAAAGGGTATGTCTGTATCATGAATTTTCTTATATAAAATCATTACATTATATTCTCCCTCTTCTACATGCTTTCGTGGTGTAACGAAAGCACACTCGACGCGTATTTGTGAGGTCCAGGTTCGAGTCCCAGCGAGAGCATTGCTCATTTTTCATGCATCAAAATAAGCATAATGACACTACAATGATGCCTAATGACCAGGCAAC